ATGAACTGCAGCATCCCGCGTTAGGGCCTGGCCTCAGGGGCGTTCCTTTTACCTGAAGACCGCCTGTGTCAGAAAACTCTGTTACCCTGGAATCAAACTCCTTTAAAACACCTATAAAAATTCAAGTAAAGAAATCATTTCCATCTTTGTACCTTTTTCATCTCAGGAAGAAAAAAAAGGTCAAGCTTTCATTTTCTTTAAAGAGAGCTGGTAAATCTTGGTGTACCAGATTTTTAATACCTAAGAACTTAATTATGTGGACTGACTTGACACTGTACTAGCTCTATTTCCTCTTTAGATTTTTTTAAATAGGAAGGACAGAAAAATATAATTTGTGTTTATTTAAGTCCATTCAAAATGACCCTCTTTGTGAAAGTCATCTGCTAATAATGTTTACAAATTTTCTTGGTGTTTGAATTTTATCAACAGTAAAAGTTAATGCACAGGCTTTATACCCTAACTATAGAATTGTTTATAGGAAGAGCAAAAGCCTTAGAAAATAATGCATTTCCTTCAGAAGGACTTTGGTAAATTATACACTCTTGCATGGGAATTTTACTATAACTTAGAACTCAGGAAAATTATTAAGTTCTACTATACTATATATATCAATAAAGATAATTTTTGTTCCTTCACGTAAGTATTCCTTTCATAAAATTCTTCTAAGCCAGTGCAGAGACAGTGTAACTGTTGAGAATGAATTTTTCAGAAGGTATAATCATCTGTAGAAGACAAATAGCAATTGCGCTAATAAGCAAGATCTGCTTTCTAGTTGTATTCACAAAGTTTCAGAGTGTCTTCTGGTCTTCAGTGTCTGAAAGTTCAAGGTTAATATGTTCCCACAGGAATTGGTTAGCACCACAACCACCGAGAAGGGTGTCAGTCTAACCCACCCAGCAGTATGGCACAGCGGTGCAAAAGAAAGCCAGAGGGAAAAGTTCTGCAGCTGAGATGCTCTGGGGTGACCCGACGTTCTCCGTGGAACAAAAGGCCCGGTGTCCAAAAATTCATGGCTTTTATTGGTGTCAGTCAGGGAGGTGGGTGGGGTTGGGCCAGAAAGTATAGGGAGGAGAAACTGTAGCCATACCAGGCACAAGGCCTCCCGTTAGCAGTGCACAGGTAGTGGTTGTGTGTGCGAGGTCGGCATCTTTACTGCCAGGAAGGTGTCATTCTTTCTGAGTCCCACGGCCTCTGCTCTGACGTTATCTCATGTCTTAGCCCTGGAATCTCAGCGCTGGAATCTCGCAGGCTCCTACTTGATCTTCCATTCCCGCCTCTATTCTCACCCACCTGCTGCCTCTTTGCTGTTAATGAGACCACCCGGGCCTCTGCCAGACCCAGGACCGTTCTTTTGGTTAATTAATGGAACATTGTTCCATTGTGCCCGCTCTGCGTATCTCTCTGAACGAGGTGAAGGAGAGGTCAGGGATAGACTGTGGCACGGCTTCGTTTCCCAGGAGAGAGCAGCGTGGCTATCGCCCGCAGGTTAGGATGTCTGTTCTAGCACTTTCATTGTGCTCCAGCAGTATATGAGATACGGCGACTGCTTAAATATGCGTAACCTAGCACTGCGGGGCAAACGTCAAGTTCTAACTGCGATGTGGGCTGTAGGCTCCTTAGGAAATCTGTGTCCTGTTTCAGGTGATGAGAAAAGTGGAAAAATACTTGGAGAGAAAAACTGCGTGGAAGAGTTTAGGTCCTGTTCAGCACTCTTTGCAGTTTGTGAGTGGATCTACAAGTAACCCAAAGAAGTCCTGTGTATCTTTGTTAATACAAAAAATAGTTCGGGGACTATTTCCTCAAGAATAGTTTTGCTTTTTGATCTTCTTTATAAAGGATAGTAGCCAGGTCCACAGAGCACTTTTATTGAGTAATGGTTCTGCTAGTCTTCGGTGTGTGCTGTTTATTTTCTTGGGGGTGGCGGAGGGTCAGGCGACCTGTAACCCTTCCTGGCCCGCAGCGCTCCGTCTGTGGTGTGAGTAGCTACAGCACAGCGCCTTCCCCTTCTGTTTTGCCTATTTGGGGCTGATGCGGCCCCAGGAGATTCGGACTGATGGCTGTACTTGTGCTTGTGTGAGGCCCCCTGACGTTCTGGCTAGGTTTGTGACTTGTTAGTCATTGGCTTGCTTTAGAACATTTAGGAGTGGAGATTCAACTTTTTAGTTTGGTAACAATAGAAAAAACGCTGTAAACCCATCATAGCAAGCTAAGCGCTAGGTGAAAAAGAACCGTGAGATTACTGAGACAATGCTTACAATTGTACTGTCAAATTATGTCTAATTTTATTGAATTACTTCAAATAATTTGGCATCAGTTGTGAGAGAGAATGACTATCTTTTAACAATGCATTTGTGGGGCATATTTGAGACAGAAGTTTCTGTTTGGCCACAGAACTTTGTTCACTTCTTTCTTTTAAAATTAATTGATAATATTTGTACACACATGCGAAGTATAGGATAATAATTCAATACATTTGCTCAATATGCAGTTACCAAATCAAGGTAATTAGCATTTCTGTGTCCTCAAACATCTGTAATTTCTATTTGTTGGCAAACCTGGAATTCCTCCCTTCTAGTGGTTTTAGAATACATCATGATTGTAGCCCATGTGGCCCTCTTGCGCTTCAGAACACTGCCACTAATTCCTTTCGTTAACTGTATCTTGGAACCCACTACCCAAACGCTGTCTGTCCCCGCAGCTTCCTGTCCTCTAACCACTGCTGTTCTGTGTTCTCCTTACATGAGATCAACTTTTTAAAGCTACGTCGTGTAATGAGGACTATGCGGGACATGTCTTTTTGTGTCTTTTGTTTAACTACTGTCGGGCCCGTGTTGCTGCAGATGAAGGGGCTGCGTACGTGTTAGGGCTGAGTACCGCTGCGTTCTGTACCTGTGCCGTTTCCGTTGCTCGCTCGTCTGTTCGTAGATGCTTCGGTTGATGGCGTGTCCTCGCTCTTCTGAACAGTGCTGCAGTAGATACGGGAGTGCAGGCGGTACCTCTATGATTGTAAAGCTTTGGGGGGCATGTATATACCTCGTGGCACAAGCTTGTTCTTAAAAGCCTTTACAAGGGGGAGTGTAACTCCCTACTTCTTAAACTTGGGTTGTCCAGTGACTTCCTTGCAGAGATTATACCATGCAAAGGAAGAGAAAAAGAAACTTGACAATAAAGAAACCTATAGTAAGCAGTAATGTTAATGTTGATAAATCATGTTCATAAAGCGGACGCTTGACGTGCTGTGGTCTGGAGGGCAGTTTGCTGTGTGTTCCTCTTCCCAGAAGCTTGAAGCCGCAGTCTAAACACAGAAACGTCACCCAAATGCCGTGTGGGGGCACTAGAGACCAGCCCCACTCCAGCAGTGACCGGGCTGTCAGAAGGCACGAGTGTGTAAGAGCGCAGAGCGCTCAGAGGAGGCGGGACACAGTGACGTAAAATGAGTTTACTGCCCTAAATGGGATCCGAGTGCACAAAAAGAACATTAGATTAAAAATTCAGATCGTTGTAAGTTACAAACATTTGTTAAGAAAAAATACTGAACAGTGTAACAGTAAGGATGTGGATATAACAGTATATATAACAGTGCATGTAACAGGATGTGGATATAACAGTATATGTAACAGTACATGTAACAGTAAGGATGTGGATGTAACAGTATATATAACAGTACATGTAACAGTAAGGATGTGGATATAACAGTACATGTAACAGTAAGGATGTGGATATAACAGTATATATAACTACATGTAACAGTAAGGGTGTGGATATAACAGTATATATAACAGTACATGTAGCAGTAAGGATGTGGATACAAGTTCCTGCTGCATCTCAGCTAAAGACAGAATAGCTGAAGCCAGGCATGGTGGTGCACCCCTGTGATCTCAGCACTTGGGAGGCTGAGGCAGGAGGATCGCTGGGAGATCAAGAGCAGCCTGAACTACACAGTGAGACCTTGTCTCTAAAAGACCAAAAAAAAACCACAAAAAAAAAAAACAAAAAATAAAGACAGAATGACTGAATATTTGGCAGTGCTGCTGGAATTCAAATGAAATTGTCATGTTATAACATCAACCGCGTTTTATAAAGGTGAGTAATGTTAGGAGAAAAATGGCTTAAGAGCAAGCAATCAAAGCATGATAGATTAATGGAGTAAGGTATGATAACCAAGCCTAAACTTCAAAGAGCTAACAACTTACCCTTGAAATGGAAACTGCCTGGTATTTGAGAACAGAATGTCCTTTGTCCTGGTAAGGCTTTTATACCAAGTAGCAGCAGCTTATGGACGTTCTAACACATACACAGACCAGAAGTTCCAAGTCAGGAAGTGTTGCATATACATAAATCAGAGTACTTCATACTAGTTTTTTGATGCTATTTTATCTACCAGACAAGATGGAAAACTTATAGTAGCATAGAAACATCACAGGTTTTTTAGCAGAATTACATCCTTTCTTAGACATAGTTGTTTTTAAGAAAAAACATTTAACTTGAGGATCTATTTTCCATGCAAACATGAAAGAAAAATCTTAAACTTGTTTTAAATACACAGTTTTTAAAATTGGTGTACAGGAAGGCAGAGCATGCACTAGATACATATTTAACTGATTTATGGGAAAAGACCATGCACTAGATACATATTTCATATGGAACAAAGAAATTTCGGAGTTTTAGAATGTACAGTGCTTTGTAGACAAGCAAAAGCAATATGCATTACTGCATCGCGCACTCCTGGTCTCCTCATAGAATATGGACCAGCTTCTTGTGGAATGTCTGCAGGTGACGGCATTCCACCTGGCTGTTCTTTTCTCCTGCGTCCTTTTGGCAGTGTGCAGGAGAAAGCTATCAGTCGATCCTTTTCATAACTTGGGCTCCCCGCTTGTATTAGCATTTATTTTCGCAAATGTACAGTAGCAGATCCCTTACCTACGCCAGACACCTTCTTAAGAACTGAAACGCGTGCGCGCTCCATGGTAAATGGCAGAGGCCTCCTTCTTGTTTTGCAGTGCGCTGACCGGCAGAACTCACCAGTCACGTCCCCCGGATCCTCTCCCCTCGCCCAGAGAAGAAAGCCCCAGCAAGACCCGCTGCAGACCCCGCACCTCAGCCTGCCCCCCGTGCCCCCTCGCCTGGATTTGATCCAGAAGGGCATAGTCCGGTCTCCCTGTGGCAGCCCAACGGGTTCTCCAAAGGTAAATCAGTTTCCTTACAAGTACCACATGGGACAGTTACTAGCTGCTGGGCTTCTTTTAATTCGCATTACTCAACTCCTGTGTTTTTTCATTGTTTATGAACAACTTTGATGCGTGTATCAGTTTTTATGGTGATCCAGCTACCACATTCCTCACTTTTATGAAAGTTGCAGAATTCTTCAGAAAAAGCACGCATCTGTGGCCGCCCGATTTGTTAAAATAAATGGGAGTATATGTATAGTCATTCCGTAAAATGAATTTAAAAGGTCATTATATGCATTAAAATAATTTGCATGCTGTTAGCAAATGATACTTTATACTCATTTTCATAATGTCATGACAAGAAAAATGTAATGGGAGGATATTTGCATAAGGACTTAAGGTGTGATAAATTATCACCCATGTTTCAAGGTGACTCAAGGGAGAATTGTATGTACTTTTATACCTAAAGGGATTAATTAGAAGGAATTACAATATTTGCAGAGTAATTACATTACTGTTTAATATTACAGACATCATTCTGACTCTGTAAACTTAAGCCCACACTCTTATTTTAGTTTTACGTGTATTCTTTTTTCCAAATTTGATAAAAAGGGTATATTTAATATTTTGTTTTATTAAATATGAGTTATTAGTTCTACTTAGTAGTATGCTTTATAGTCTAAAATTAATAGGAAGTACAATATATTTAGTAGTATTTGTTTTTTCTCCCTTAAAATTTGGTTTTAAGCTCACATGAAGACTTCCTAGGCTGTAACTTAGAGTTATATAAACATACAGCAGATACCTTTTTTCCTGATTTTTCCCAGTGTTAAAGGCTCAAATGATTCATCAGGTGAACCATATCAATGACAATCAAAGCTAAGCAGCGCCATGGAGTATGCGTGAAATCCGATAGGCTCAGGCACTAGGATTTTGCATTAGAGCCTAGCTTACGCTACTTACTGATTTAGGGAGACTGAGTCAGAATGAGACAAGAAACGGGCTGAGGAAGTAGCTAATGCAAAGGCCCTGGATTCACCCCCAGTAAAACACACGCACACATATACACACACACACACACACACAGGCTATGAAAACTACACAGATTGGGTTTAAAAATACATACTTACATATTTCCATGTAAAAGCAAACTTTTAAAAAATTCATGAAATTCTCTAATGCTGCTGTATTATTTGTCATTTTTCTTCTAATGACTAATGGAGAATCAGAATAAATTTGTCCCGTATCTGCTGTGCTGTACTGCTCTGATGAAAACGAATTTTTTTTAAAAACTCCCGTCTTCCGGAAGTACAGCAAGTCTAGCTCCTATTTTAAAAGGTAGAGCAGTGGCAGTAACCTTGAGGGAGCTCTCCTGCCGCCCCTGAGTCGAGGAAGCGCACGGGGATGCTGCTGGTCGGTGCGGCGCAGTCAGTTGGTGCTGGCCCTCCGGCTTGTCCTGTGCAGTTTACGTGGCGTACCGTTCGCATTTACGCTCCTTGCTTTCGAGGATGCTCCTGGAGTACTTGGGACTCTTTCACTAATGTTTTAGACTTGCGCTCGGTTTCTGCAAGCCTGCCGAGCTGCGTGGAAGCGCCGCGGTGCGCTGCGGCCGCCCGGCTCACGCCCCCGTGCCCTGCCCCTGTGCCCTGCCCGCAGTCCTC